TTCTTATATCACGTAATAATTAAATAAATAAATATTTGATATAAATTATTGAAGTCACTTTTAATGCAGAGTTACTCTTTTCAATGTTCACGATAGTTTTATGATAACATATGCCTGTCGGTATTATTGGTAACCGCGTCGGTAAGTATCATCGGTAACCGTGTCGATATATGGACTAAATCTCGGGCCGCTGGCGTGTGATAGTAGGAGGCGGCCGGAAGAGAACTACTTCTCCTCACGGCGCACGATATGGTGCTCCGTACTGTACGTGATTTTTAACGACACTTAATCAGAAGTCGTTTTCTAGTTTTTTTGAGGGAAGAGCAGGGGAGAAGGGCAAAACTCCTCTACTTGCGGAAGGGGGCGCAGCTTACAACAGCCTACACGCTTACAACAAAGAAATAAAAACAAATCGTATAGCAATTCAACCCATAAATATGTTTGTGTGTAATACATATAGTTTTACATAAATACATCTCACATTTAATGTAGTGGATACATTGCACTCATTATGTCAAAAAAGGCATCAATTCAAAATCCAACCGTGTACGACAGAAAGCTATTACACACTGAGCAAAAAGGCGATTACGAACGAACAAATCAGAAACTTTCGAGGTATGCTACATATACACACATTGTTGGTAACATAAACATTACTCATTTCCTTCTGAAATGTACACGATGTCGAAAAAGGATAAGTTATTCATGAAACTTTTTTTGTACATAATTTTTTTATAAACAATGAGCGACGACTAAAATCTTCATATTGTTGCTTAGGAAGGTAATCTTAATAATATATGTGAACGAGAAGCCGATCAAAGGGGGCTTCTGTATATTTACCTTGTGTTAATTATTAATATAATTTAACTGCACAATGAAGTTTTTAGAAATAAACATTTGATAGGAATAAAGTATATTATTATATACTTGTGTTCATATAATACATATATTTAATATGATATTTGATGCTTTCGCGGTGTGCAGTATTAACATACAAAGATGTTTTTTTGGGGTTTGAACCGCGTTAGTGTCATTTTTATACCGACGTTTTGTGAACATTACAGCTCACTTCATCAAGGTTTGAAGAGCAGCCTGATACTGAGATGCTCTTCGTCAGGTGTCTCTTTTTATAGCGCTAGATTGGAGTGGGAGGGGTGTGGTGGAGGAGGTGTGGAATGGTAAAAAGGAGGGGAGGATATGTTATGGCAAGATGGAATGCCTCCTCCACATATAGTGAACTAGTCATATGTCCATTGTCTCTATTGAGATTGTTTGGATGTTTGTATATCTCCAGAGATTCCGTATACTTTCTAGGGAAGTAAGCTCTAGTTGTGTTTAGTACTTAGGTTTTGTCAAACATAATTTTGTGACCAGTTTCCAAATGGTGTTCTGCTAATGCCGATTGTGAGTAATGTTTTAGACGTACTACTGACTGATGTTCTTTTAGTCGTGTGCTTATCATTCTACCAGTTTTACCTATGTATACCAATTTAGCGCTATAAAAAGGGACACCTGACCGAAAGCATCTCAGTATCAAGCTGCTCTTCAAACCCTGATGAAGTGAGCTGTAATGTTCACGAAACGTCGGTATAAAAATGACACTAACGCGGTTCAAACCCGCGAAAAAACATCTTTGTATCTTAATATATTTAATATATTATATTACTTAAATATTTTAAGATTGCATTTATAAAATGTAAATTGTTTTCGTACTTTACATTTTAACAGAGAAATATATAAATATAAACACTAATAAAATAATACTCTCTTTACATACATTAATACCAGTAGTTATAGTAGGGGGGTTTTAGACCAGGTTTTCAATAGGCGAGTCATGTTCTGTCCTTGTCTATCTAATGGCGTTTCGAGCAGTTCAAGCATGCCTTACTGGAAACACTCCATAAGAGAGAAAGAGTTAGTCGACAACCGAGGACACCGCGAGGGGGGAGAGGGAGAGGGAAGAGGAGGAGGTAACCGCGTTAAGGAAAGGGAGGGGGAAGGAGTGGTCATGTGTGTTCAAGGTCGTTTGGATGATGACGTCATCGCTAAAATATAAAGTGCGCATCAAATTAAATAATTCCAAGAAAAAACCGCAAAGTTCCCGGAAGTGGTTCGCGTTTAAAAAATAAATAGCGCGCAGTTCGTAATTGCGCAGCAAATGATTAAGAAATTCCGAGAAAAACCGCAATTTCCCGGAAACAAATAATTCCGAGAAAAACCGCAAAGTTCCCGGAGGCGGTTCGCGTTTAAAAATAAATAGCGCGCAGTTAAAATTGCGCAACAAACAAATAAAATATTTTTGAGAAAAACCGCAATTTTCCGGAAGTGAGCCTGTTCTTATCGCCGAAGCGATTAGTCACTTCCGGTTTGATTACGCATTTCCTACGATAACAGCCGCGTGAAAAACCGTTACGTACCGGATGTGGTGTTTGTAAAACGCAATTTCAAACCAAAAGATTGTGGGGAAAGATAAGGAGTAAAATAAAAAAGGCGCCTCGAGGTCGGGAGCGAGTCATTTTGATCGCAAGTCGTATAGATAACAAATCGTCGCCGTTGTTGTTGAAAATGTTTAACAGATTGAACACGACGTGTATTTGAAACCTATCGATCGAAGAGTTGAAAAACATTCCAAAGAGAGGATAAAAATAAATACATCCGAGAAAAACCACAAAGTTCCCGGAAGCGGTTCGCGTATAAAAATAAATAGCGCGCAGTTCGTAATTGCGCAGCAAATAAATAAGAAATTCCGAGAAAAACCGCAATTTCCCGGAAAACAAATAATTCCGAGAAAAACCGCAAAAGTTCCCGGAAGCGGTTCGCGTTTAAAAATAAATAGCGCGCAGTTTGAAATTGCGCAGCAAATGAATAAGAAATTCTGAGAAAAACCGCAATGTCCCGGAAGTGAGCCTGTTCTTATCGCCGAAGCGATCAGTCACTTCCGGTTTGATGACGCACTTCCTATGATAACGTCCGCGTGAAAAACCGTTACGTACCGGATGTGGTGTTTGTAAAACGCAATTTCAAACCAAAAGATTGTGAGGAAAGATAAGGAGTGAAATAAAAAGACGCCTCGAAGTTGGGAGCGAGTCACAAATCATTTTGATTGCAAGTTGTATAGAGAACAGGTCGTTGTTGTTGTTGAAATGTTTAACGGAGTGAACACAACGTGCATATTAAACCTATCGGTCNAAGAGTTGAAAAACATTCCAAAGAGAATTCTATTAGAAGTGTTCGATAATCACGTGAAGCTTTTGTGGGATCGACTGCCTGAGCATTTGAAGGAAGATCCTGAGGTGCAGCTGTATCGTAGATGTCTCGAGCATTACAATCAACCAGGAGATTACGATCACATTGACGGACCTGCTCCGCTGAAAAAATATTGTCGCGCGTGTATTGCGAAAGCCAAGATGGAAAATCAAGAATGAATTAGATCAGACAACCGAAATCGCTTCAGTTCCTAGCTGCGAAAACAGTAGCAAAACATGTAGATGAGTACATTGAAATACACAAACTTGAAATTCCTAAAGTGTGCAAGGACGCAATACGAGAGATCTGGTTCGATGTAC